GCGACATTCTCTGCCTGCAGGCCATGAGTTGTATGAGGTTCTCATAGAGACTTGGTAAGTTCTAACAGGACTGGACAGGGTAGATGCCGGGAGAGGGTTCCCGATGGTGGGTGTGCCCTGAACCAGGGATCACAGGATGAAGATTTGGGGTGGATGATTTAGGACAGAGATTGGGTGAAGAAATGTCTCCCCAAGAGTGGTGAGCCTGTGGAATTCAGTACCACAGGAAGTAGTTGGTGCCAAACCACTGAATGTATTGAAGAGGCGGCTAGATATAGCACTTGGGGCAAATGGGATCAAAGGTTATGGGGAGAAAGCAGGATTAGTCTATTGAGTTGGACGATCAGCCGTGATCGTGAAGAATGGAGAGCAGGCTCAAAGGGCCGAACGGCCACCTGCTCCTATCTTCTATGTTCCTGTGATGCCAGAACAGCAGTGAATGCTGAAGGTGATAATTATCTGAAACTGTTCAACAAAGTACTTTTTTTCTTTTAAAAGAAAAAAAGAATATTTCAACAGAGTTGATGAAACATCAGTGGCTTTAGGTGAGAGGATGAGGTGGGATTCGGGGTGAGAAATGCAGTGCAAAGTATATGTTCCCAGTTCCTCAGCAGAGGTCGTGTTACTAACAAACCCCTGACCTTTTGGGATGAGCTGTATTCATCTTCCCTTGTGCATTTGGATTCAGAACATCCGTTCTATCTCTGTTAATCCAGAATTGGACTGTCTATAATGGCCAGTTGATTATGGCTGACTACACACACCAGCATCCCTTTTTTTTAATACCACATGTATTTTTGTCATCACAGCCTACCCAGAATTCCATTCTTAATCTGCAAAGTTTTCTTCATCTGAGGGGAAGCAAGGGTGGGGAAAAATCTAAACTTTGTGGATGGAGTGCAGTGAGATTGGCATGTTTTAGTTTAGCTGGATCTTGATGTATAAGGAGAGTTTTTTTTTTTTTATCTTTCCCACAGCTTCAGACCTGCCCCAACTGAGCAGCTTAAAAAACCTAGCAGCATGAGAGAGAGCCCATCCAACCAGCGAGACTCAGCAACCCAAACCAGGACTGGCCTCCGATGGATCGGCACTGGTTTCTTCCTGAATGAACATGATGATTCTTTGTGTTGTGGACACTTGTGCTCACCAATCTAATGCCACATCCCCACTGTAGTTCATGGGTTGACTTGGGCCCTTTCTTTAACGTGAGTAGTGAACATACTGGTCTGCTTTCACTCAGAAATCATGTTTCCACAGCCACAGTTCATCTAAACTTAAGGAAAGATGAAACCAGTTTGCTTCCATATGACTCCTCTTTGGCTCGATGCTGAAACTGAGTGGGACTTGTATGCTGCAAATTACATGTTGCTGCTAGACTCTGGAGCAAACTCTGAATTTGACTGTCAGCTATTTTGGTCCCAGTAGAGAATAATTGAAAGGCAGGTAGTGTTGGTGACACTAATGTATCTGTTCTACTGCTCTGTACAAAGCCAAGTGAGTTTTAAAGTAAACTAAGTCCGTGTAATTTTTAGTAAACTATTTTTTTTTTTGAGATGTCTTTTTGGAGGATTTGCAAATTGTTCAAAGTCTTAGTGTTTGTTGACTTGTGTATATTTAATAAACATTTTTCTGGAGTTCACTTGCCCAAAATGGTCATTTTTTTAAAAAAAGAAATGCTGTTCATGCAGGTTATGGGGATGCAAGATGCAAATCATAAACACCTCAACCTAAACCACGGAGGGAAGGCTTGTACCCTAATCTCTTCTGGCAGACAACACCACTGACTTCACCTTCTATTTGGGATACTTGAGTAATTTAGGCTTGGCCCGCATCTACTTAGTCATAGAGTCATTCAGCATGGAAACAGACCTTTAGTCCACCCAGTCCCTGCTGACCATGTTCCCAAAGTGAACTAGTCCCACCTGCCTGTGCTTAACCCATATCCCTCCAAGCCTTTCCTATTCATGTACTTATCTAAATATCTTTTTAAACATTGTAACCATACCTGCGTGTACTACGTTGTCAGCAGGTCAGTGAGAACGTGCCTGAGTTTGGGGAGGTAGTTGGAAATTGAGTTCCGAGTATGTAGATTCTGATCCTGGAAATTTACAACTGAATCATAGTGCAGAAAGAGGCCGTTTGGCCCATTGAGTCTGTAACCAACCTTCTGAAGACCATCCCACCCAGATCCACCAATCCCAACCTCATGTTATTACTGCTGTCTACTCAGCACATTGCGGTACTTGAGCAGTGATGTGAGGTGCTATATTTTGGAAAGGCAAATCAGGCCAGGACTTGTACACTTAATGGTAAGGTCCTGGGGAGTGTTGCTGAACAAAGAGACCTTTGGAGTGCAGGTTCATAGTTGCTTTAAAATGGAGTTGCAGGTAGACAGGGTAGTGAAGAAGGCTTTTAGTATGCCTGCCTTTTATTGGTCAGTGCATGGAGTATAGGAGTTGGGAGGTCATGCTGTGACTATACAGGACATTGGTTAGGCCACTTGGAATACTGCGTGCAGTTCTGGTCTCCCTCCTATAAGAAGAATGTTGTGAAACTAGAAAGGGTTCAAAAGGTTTACAAGGATCTTGCCAGGTGGAGGGTTGGAGCTATTGGGAGAGACTGAATAGGCTGGGGCTATTTTCCCTGCAGCATCTGATGCTGCAGGGAAGACTTTTAGAAGTATATAAAATCATGAGGGACATGGACAAGGTGTTTTTCCCTGGGGTTAGGGACCCCAAAACTAGAAGGCATAAGTTTTTGAGAAGGGAAAGATATAAAAGGGACCTAACAGGCAACTTTTTCACGCAGAGGGTGGTGCAAGTATGGAATGAGCTGCCAGAGGAAGTGGTGGGGACTGGTACAATTAAACACTTTAAGAGGAATCTGGATGGGTACATGAATAGGGAGTGTTGAGAGGGATATGGGACTAGATTTGATTTAGGATATTTGGTCAGCATAGATGAGTTGGACTAAAGGGTCTATTTCTGTGCTGTATATCTCTCCCACTGATTTTACACAGCCAGCGTTATTGTTTGGTTACCATTTCCCTCCTGGTGATACACTAGTATATCTGTATTGATGTTAATGAAGATGGCACAGGTAGTGGATGCTTGTGAAATTAGTCTACTGTAAGGTATGTTTTGGAAGTCTTGTGTGAATACACAAGATTTCACCAATAAGGTCCCCAGCTGTTACTTATTCACCAGTTAAATGTTTGTCAGCTATGGTTCCATGAGTAGAACCCTCACCACCTGAAGATTTTGGGTTCAATTCCCACTCCTAAAACATAAGCACACACATTAATGCTGCATTGAAAAGCCGTTTCAGAAACAGTACTGTTGGAGGTGTAGTCTTTCAAACAGACTCTTTTTGGTTTGTGGCCTTATGCCACTTACAGCTGAATGTAAATGATTCCATGATTCTGAAGATGTCATTACACCAGTGTTCTGGTCAGCATTCATGCCTCAAACATTCTTTAAAAGCAGATTAACTGGCCATTGCCACATTGTTTGTGAGAGCTTTGTGTGAAAATTGACTGCTTTCTACATCACAACAGTGACTGTGTTTGGGATAACAGCGTGGAGCTGGAAGAAAACAACAGGCCAGGCAGCATCAGAGGAGCAGGAAAGTCAATGTTTCAGGTCAAGACCCTTCTGACCCGAAATATCAACTTTCCTGCTCCTCTGCTGCCTGGCCTGCTGTGTTCCTCCAGCTCCACACTCTTGTCTCTGACTCCAGCATCTGCCGTTCTTGCTATCTCTGAGTAACTGTGTTTGGGATGTGCTAAACTTGTGAAGGAGAACACTATTTCCTTTTGATATGCATTGGGACAAATGTTTACATCTGGATTGTCATTCTATCTAAAACACATGTTCCCAGTACAACTGCTGCAGTTGAACTTCCTGGCTGCAATCACTTGTAACCTCATGCCCACTTTTGCAGAAGCTTAGGGTAGCTCGGGAGAACTTTTCTCAATTTTTAAGGTTATAGAACACTTGCTAACACCGAGTGGTCAAGCACAGTAGCACGGATGCATTGCAGGGGAAGCTGGGTGTAAACGACAGAACTGTTTTAGAAGGGACTGATGTTTAGAGATGAATGCAGATGGCTCACGTCCACTCTTAGCATTATGATGTAGAAGGAACCCATTCAGCCTATTGTGTATGTATACCAGATCTCTAAATGAACATTGACTTGGTGCTATTGTTCCACTGGGGACTGTGTCCATTTGTCTATTTTGAATAATCATCACCTACTCTCATGTCCAGCCAGCACATTCCAGACCTGAATGATGTCCTACGTGAAAAAGTTTCCCACCTTTTGTTTATCACTTTAGCAAATTACTTTAAATTTGTTTCAGAGATAGTAGGAACTGCAGATGCTGGAGAATCTGAGATAACAAGGTGCAGAGCTGGATGAACACAGCAGGCCGAGCAGGAATAGTTTTTTTACCAGCAGGAATAGTTTCTCTCTCTGTTCTATCCAGTCTACTCAACATTGAAAACTTCAGCAAATGCTTTGCTTCCTCCTTTCTAAAGGCAAATAGCCCCAGCTTCTTCAAAACACACACAGTTCTGAGGAAGTGTCAGCAGACCCGAAACGCAAACTCTGCTTTCACTGCACAGATACTGCCAGACCTACTGAGCTTGTCTAGCAATTTCTATTTTCGTTCCTAACTTCTTTAATCTACGTTCATAACGGAAACTTGTCATTCCCGTAAAACTCTTCTGCACACTCCCTCGCCAATGCATTCACATCCTCCTTATGGTGCGGGGCCCAGAAGCCTGTGCACAATCCTCCAGCCAGCTCTAACAGTGCGCTGTCCAGGCTCAGCATGAATCCGATGGGCTGAACGGCCGCATTCTGGGTAACGCGTGCCTTTAGCGGAACAGTATTGTGACGCGCGCTGCCCATTGTGACGTGCCTGGAGCCGGCTTTGGGGCGGGGCTTCTAGCTGGGCCCCGGTCAGCTGACCCGCAGTGTAGCCAGTTCGAATCACGTGGGGCCGCTGGTCACATGATCAGCCCGGATGGCTAAGCTGCTGGCGCTGAGCTCTCTGTACTTGCTGCTCTCTGTTTGCCCCTTCATTCTCGGACCTGGGGCAAATGGGGGGCCGGCGGGGAAGTGCGGATACCAGGTGAGTCGGACACTAACTGGGGCAAAGGTTCAGTCTTGTTCCTGTGCTCACCGTTAATGAGATCGGAGTGAAAACACAGCGCCAAAGAGAAGTAGTCATATTCTGAACAAGTTTCTTTTTGCACCACTGATCGATTCCGAGAACAGTGCTTGTGAGCTGGGCCAACTACATTAAAGTTCCTTAACTGAGCAAAAGCCTTACTGGGATTGAAACGTTGACTCCGTTTCTCTTTCCCCAGATACGCTGCCGGAGGTCTTATGCAGTTAATGGTAGAGTCATGGAGAGTGTTGCTGAACAAAAGATCGTGGAGTGCAGGTTCATTGTTCCTTGAAAGTGGAATCGCAGGCAAACAGGGTGGTGAAGGTGGCGTTTGGTACACTTGCCTTTATTGGTCAGTGCATTGAGTACAGGAGTTGGGAGGTCATGTTGTGGCTGTACAGGACATTGGTGACGCTGCTTTTGGAATACTGTGTATAGTTCTGGTCACCCTGCTATAAGAAAGATGTTTTTAAACTTGAGAAAGTGCAGAAAAGATTTACAAGGACATTGCCAGGGTTGGAGGGTTTGAGCTATGGCAAGAGGCTAAATAGGCTGAGGCTATTTTCCCTGGAGCATCGGAGGCTGAAGGGTTATCTTATAGAGGTTTATAAAATCATGAGGGCCTCAGATAGGGTAAATAGGCAAGGTGTTTTTTCTGGGATTGTGTGTATGTTTGGGGCGTGTTGGGGGAGGTAGAGAAGGATTTAAAACAGACCTATGGGGCAACTTTTTCATGTAGAGGGTGGTGCGTGTATGGAATGAGCTGCCAGAGGAAGTGGTGAAAGCTTGTACAATTACAACATTTTAACGGCACCTGGATGGGTTTATGAATAGGAAGGGTTTATAGGGATAAGGGCCAAATGGGACCAGATCAGACTGGGATATCTGGATGATGGGGAGGGGTTGACCTAAGGGTCTCTTTCTGTGCTGTATATCTGTCTCAGTGGCTCTCTGACCTGCTGAGTTTCTCCAACGTTCTGTATGTTTCGTATCCTAGTCTGTGGGCTGTTGAGGGTGAACCAATATCTGTTTTAATAAAAACCCTGTAAAACCCCTCCTTTCAGGGCCTGCTGTGTGCGTCTTTGCATCGTCCCTCCCAATCATTTCATTCTAATAGCAACAGCATTTCTCTTTTTTTCTGAAGTCCTGTACAATATTAGTACCCTGTACAGTGATGTTCTTCTTAAAAAATGAAGACCAGAAAGTGCTGGAGAAATTCAGTAGTTCTGGCAGCAGCTGTGGAGAGAGAAAGAGTTAATGTGTTAACAGTTAACAGGACTCTTCAAAACTAGCCAGTTTTTGTTCTGGATTTCTAACATCACAGTGCTTTGTTTTTATGTTGGGTCATGTTTGAATTTGCTTTTGGAGACAGAAGGACTGCATATGAATCCTCTCCTGGTAATCCCCCTCCTCAAAAAATACTGTTATAATGCTTGAGCCTGATACACATGTGGCTCCCAACCCTGATCTGTAGTTTACTTCGGGTCTCAAAAAAGTTAAACTTGCTTGATGTTAGGAGAGAACTTTTGCTAAATAATTAAGAGTGACGTTCCCTCTCTCTCTCTCTCTCAACCATATGCTCTCTTCCTCCCCGACCCCATTCTGTCTTTCTCGCTCAGGTCTAATGGCACTATTTGAGGAGGAACGGGCTCTGTTGATGTCCTGGTTATTATTTACTCCTTGATCAATGTGACTATAAATTGATCATCGGGTCTGTATCACTTAGCTGTTGTGTTGACTACACTGAGCTGCGGGCATTTGGTGGCTCTAAAGAATTTTGGAAGACCTGAATTTATAAATAATGTAAGATTCTGGGGAAAGGCAGGAATGTAGAGTTAAGGTTAAAGTCAGATGAGCCGTGATCTTACTGAATGGCAGAGCAGGCTCAACAGGCTGAGTGATCTCTGCTTGTTCCTCGTTTTATATCTTCGCATGAAAGATACAAAACAAATACAAATTCTCCTGAATGAAAGCAAATTTTGATTTAAAGAACATGCTGACTGCTTTTGCTTATAAACATTTTAATGTTGCTTTTTGATCCTTCTCCCTCCATCCCAGTTCCCCGGTCAGCTCATTAGAAATACAGCAGGTCAGCTCTGCTGGGTAGATCAGCACATGCCCAGTAATAGGAGCCATGTGGCCTTCAGGGTGTTGTGAGGGATGAGTGACTTTGCTGTTGAGACCTTCAGTCCTAGACACTTCTCTCTCATGTCTGACTCGAGTAGCTAGTTAAAGTTTTATCTTGTTGTCTCAGTGGATCGGTGCTATGACTGACATGTATAGACCAGAGCATTCCCAGCTATCTGCTGAGTGTGGTGTTGTTGGGGACACTGTAATGGCCATGGCTCGTAATGTTCTTTGGTTTCAACACATAACAAAGTGTAGTTCTTGCAAGTAACTGACTCCATTTTCACAAACACAGGCAGTGTAGTGTCTAGATTCTTGTGCTGCAAGGTCATATCATACTCACTACTTTTCCTACATTATACCCAGTGACTAATGTTCAGAAACGGTTCTGTGGAATCTAGAGTACTTTAGAATACTGGGAAGTTGTGAAAGGCACTTTGGAATTTCAAGTCTCTTCATTTCTCAATTTGACACAGTCTGGCCATGAAACAATAAATAAATTAAACGCGCTGGAGATCTGTAGCCATCACTCAGAGTGAGAGATTATTATTTGTGATATTTTGCAAAATAGCTCATTCTTGCCCTGTGTGGTTAACACAGTGTAACTAATCTCTTCCTTGCTGCTGTTGTATCTTTCGCTTGTTTAACTTGTCTTTGTATGTTCACCCCACAGCGAGTTGCATTGTATTTGGTGCCTCTCTCTTCTTTGTAATCTCCAGACTAAGATTTGAATTTCAGCAACAACATTTAAAATCAATAAATAAATGGAAAAAACCTTGACTTTTTTATTTGTTTTCATGTTTGTGTTGCATTAAGGGATAAGAGTGAAGGGGAACTATTGGTCAGGATAGGGGAACATTTTTGAGCCTAACCAGTTACTTAATAAGATGCAATAGTTCAGTGTGACACCAGCTCCAGTTTGTTCTCTTTTTGCCCTTAAACCTATCCGCGTGTTTTGCAACAGGAAATTGCAGGATCACAAAGGGCACACTGAAGTTTTTTTTTAATCTCTCTACTTCCCTATCCCAGGGGATGAAGAAAGAAAGGGCCACATTTCTAAAGCCAATCAAAAAGCTGCAGATGCTAGAGATCTGAGACAAAAACAGAAATTGCTGGCGAAACTCAGCAGGTCTGGCAGCATCTGTGGGAAGAAAGAAGGGTTAATGTTTTGTGTCTAGCGACTAGAACTACTGAACTCCTCCTTCTTCCCATAGCCGCTGCCAGACCTGCTGAGTTGCCCCAGAAATTTGAGTTTGTTTCAAGTTTCTAAAGTGCTGAGTTGTAGACTTGCTCACCGAGCCGGTGTGTTTGATTGCAGACGTTTTGTCACGCTGCTAGGTAACATCATCAGTGCGCCTCCAGTAATTGCAGACATGTTGTCACGCTTCAAACACACCAGCTTGGCGAGCAAGTCTACAACCTCGTCCACAACCTGAGCTATAAATCTTCTCAAAAACTTTTTCTAAAGTGCTTTCTGTTCTCTCAACCTCTCACAAGGCATTTTGAGCTTGACACTGTGCTATAAAAAGGACAATATTAAAACACATGGTCAGCGCAATGGGCTTTCAGCAGCATAGTGAAGGAGGAAAGAGAGGGAGTGGGAGAGGGTTAGTGAGACAACTCCAGAACTTGGGACCCAGGCAGCTAATGACACAACCTTAGTTTAAATAGGGGTGCACGAGGCAAATTTGGAAGGCTGTAGAACAGGAGGAAATCGCAGAGATTGCAAAGTGAGAGGCAATGAAGGAGCTTGAAAATACACAGAAGTATTTTAAAACTGAGGTGTTATTGAAATTGGAGGTGGGGTGAGCACAGTGTACGCTTGAGCAACAAGTTAATCAGCGAATGGCACTTGGTGTGAGTTAAGATACAGACAGCAGCTCAAGTGGTTCCCTCAGGTTTTGAACCTGGATTTGAAAGATTGGGGAGGCTAGGTAAACAGACCCAGCTTTGCCTTCACATCGATTTCCCAGTGAGTGTTCATGATCACAGTCCGTGGGATCCAGGATGCAGCAGCTGAGAGAACCTGCCCAGGATTCTCAATCAGTGGAAATTGTTTGATTTTTAAAAATATTAACTTGCTTTCACTTTCTTCTTCAAGGCCTGTCCTGCTATCAAGCCTGGGATGCTGAATGTTCACCTGGTCCCTCACACTCATGATGATGTGGGTTGGCTTAAGACAGTGGACCAGTATTATTATGGAGGTGAATATCCTTCTTATGTTTGTTTGATTATGGGGTAGTAGCTGTGCTAATGCCTTCAGTGCAGTACGGAGACAGCCTTGCATTGTTAGAAATGGTGACTTTCAAGTTTAATGATATTTAAAGAAAAAATAGGATTCTCTCAGCGATGGTGATGGGACGAATACATTGACAATTGAGCACAACTGCTCACCAGTCGTAACATCATATAAATATTTTCATTCAATCACCAAACTAGTCAAACGGTCCCATCTTTTAAACACTATCCAGAATAAAGGATGGTAGCCATGATGTAGAGGTGCTGATGTAGGACTGGGATGGATAAAGTCAGAGGACAAACCACACCAGGTTATAGTCCAACAGGTTTATTTGAAATCACAAGCTTTCAAAGCCCTGGTGAAGGCGCAGCGCTCCAAAAGCTTGTGATTACAAACAAATCTTTTGGACTATTACCTGGTGTTGTTTGACTTCTGACAGAATAAAAGAGACCTTCACCATCCTGTCTTTTAATAAACCTCAAATAACAAATGACTTCTATTCTTATAAGAAGTGGCAAATACTGGCTAACATTTTAGCATAATCCAGAATTAGAACCAAAGACTCCCAAACACAGATAAACACACACACAATCCAAAAGACAATTGACTTTTCAGCGATGATGCTTTAGAAAGAAAGGACAAAAGGAAAAACACCCTTATTGGCCAAGGATATGAAAACAAAGGATAAAATTTGTTGTCCAGCAAGTATTTTTTTGTTGATGAAGTCAACTTGCTAACAGCCATAGACTGCTGGAAGATCATCAGTTCAGAATGAAATCAAGCTGTAACCAAGTCTTTGGAAAGTAGCCACGGTCCAGCTTGTCAGGGTCTATAATATAGTCAGAAATACTGAACTTTGAAAATCTCAATAGGTTCACAAACACTTCTGTTAAGAGATGGAGACTTGCAGTTCCTGAGATTTCCTTTAGTACTGACACTCTAGATCTGTGAACACTGAAAATCAGCCCAGAAAGGGTTGCAGGGAAACCACGAGTACGCAGCCTTCCCCCGCTCCCCCCGTTGTCTTCTCAAAGCCAGGTTTCCCAGCAACTAAGGGCCATAAACCCATTATTTATCCTGTCTCCCTAATAGCTTTGCATATCTTTTCTCCAAAGTTACCTGATGTTCTGTAAGCAGCAGAGAAACCACCACACACATGAAACTGTTAACATCATTTTCCAAGAAAACATGTGGTTCAAAACTCTTTTTAATCCAGAAAATGCCCAAACACTTCTTTATCTCCAGTTTTTTGCATACTCCATAAATATGATTCCGAACACTTGGCTGATATTTCTCCCTCGTGCAATAGTTTTGTAGATTAGAGATCAGTTACCAACCTGTGGTTAGTGTTACACCCTGAGAGCATTAGACCCTGGTGGAGTGCAGTGAGGAAGAAGTTCTTTCTTAAAGAGTGAGGTGGGAATTGCTCCCTAAAAAATGTGAAAATGGGAGCTTTCGAGACTGAGATCCTTCTTGTGTTAGCGGATCAAGGAATGTGGAGCAAGAGCAGGTTTATTTATTTCAAATGCAAATTAACTGTGATTTAATGAATAGGTTAAAGGGGTCGACTGGCCTCCAACCTCGACATAGTCTGTGTGTCTGTGTGTGTGCTCCTTTCTGCCTGACACGTGTGGAGTTTGCCAAGATGCTTCATGAAATCCTCGCTGTTTTCTCCACTCAGGGCGGACTGACACGCAGCGTGCTGGTGTACAGTACATCCTTGACTCTGTGATCCCACAACTGCAGGCCGACCCGAGTAAGAGATTTATTTACGTGGAGGTTGCTTTTTTCTATCGCTGGTGGAGGCAGCAGACCGACAGGATGAAGAAGGTGGTAAAACAGTTGGTGGATGAAGGTAAAGTGTAACATTTGAGCCGTCCACACTCTGAGACTCCAACAGGCGGTGCTGGGACAGGTCAGGGGGACTGGGCGTTGATGGTTTCACTTGGTCTCTCCGTGTTAACCTATAGACAGATTGCATGTGCTCAGTATTTCTAATGAGAGGCTCCGTCTATCGTGTCGAAGGGATTCTGACTCTACTGAAACGAACAAATTCTGACGTTTATAAAGTTACAGCCAAAGGAAAATCCCCTCCCAGTCAACTTCCTGTGTTCTGTAAAATGAAAAGAGCTGCAGTGTCAGGACACAACTCAGTCAGGACATGAGGGCATGGCTGTGATCCTACAATAGGTCATGGTCTGTCATTTCGTACTGGGATTGTGAGACCTCTCTCTTGCATGGCTAGCCCCCCTCCCCTGCCACAATTGTTCCGAGTGTGAGTCCCACTGATCAAGGCTACCATCTAGTTACCAGTCCAACAAAATAACTAAGTACGTACAGGCTGGAAGTTGGACCTGGGGCTTTCTGAATAATTTAATGTGAGGTGCCCTGCAGTGACTGGACTGAAGGAAAAGGAAGCTGTGGGACATTTCCCAGTTCTAAGCTGAGGCAGTCTTGTTCCTGCAGGTAGGCTGGAGTTTCTTAATGGAGGCTGGTGTATGAATGATGAGGCCACCACTCACTACAGCTCCATCATTGATCAAATGACCCTGGGCTTCCAGTTTCTGAACGACACGTTTGGAGAGTGTGGCCGACCCCGTGTGGCTTGGCACATTGACCCATTCGGGCACTCCCGAGAGCAGGCATCCCTCTTCGCTCAGGTAAGAGAGGCAGTCGTCTCATTACCGAAATAATTACAAGTCCGGTTTCCGTGTCTGCAAACTGTGGGCCTTCTCCCTGTGTTCGATCTGGTCGTTACCATTGTCAATTGCTGTGTCAACATTTTGTCTTTAATTATTTGAACAATCACGAGGTATGTGCAGCTTCTGACCACGACGTGGTTGTGTAGAGTCAGAGTGCCCAGTGTGGCCACTGTGTTCTGTCAGTGGGTGGGGGGTGGGTTGTTGCTAGCTCAGGCAGTCTGTCGCTAATCTCAACATTGCTACTGGGTTTGGTAATTCACTCAGTGGGGAGCTGGAGACGCCGGTGAGAGACAGATGTCAAAACAGAGGGAAGAGGGAGGGGTGTCCCTTATGTACCCGGCAAGTGATTATCCACTTCACAGCACTAGGTCTGAGGGCAACTGCTAATCAATCTCTACAAGACATGCTTGGAAAGTGCAGTTAATGACCTGGAGTAGTGTTAACAGCATGAGCCGCGCTCGCTGACGTCTCCCCACAGGGTGAGCCACGCTCGCTGACGTACCCCCTCCCCCAGGGTGAGCCGCGCTCGCTGACGTCTCCCCACAGGGTGAGCCGCGCTCGCTGACGTACCCCCTCCCCCAGGGTGAGCCGCGCTCGCTGACGTACCCCCTCCCCCAGGGTGAGCCGCGCTCGCTGACGTACCCCCTCCCCCAGGGTGAGCCGCGCTCGCTGACGTACCCCCTCCCCCAGGGTGAGCCGCGCTCGCTGACGTACCCCCTCCCCCAGGGTGAGCCGCGCTCGCTGAC